TTGCATTTTTAAACAAAACCTTTTTCATTGCTTTTTATCGATAAACTCCCGGTTACCATTACCTTTAAACACGGCCAAACCAAATTTAGTCGCGTTCTCTGTGTTTTCAGCGACTGCTTTGTCGTTATTTGAGAGATTTACTCGCTTATCACGGATGGAAACCGGCACGCCATTTTTCCCCGAGTTGCTCGGAGGTAAATAGCAAAGGATATTCGGAGTTTGACAGGCCAATCAGAGCGCGCCTTCAACGCTATCCACTTTTTTAGTATATACTAATAGTTGTTATTAACTATAGTAAGATTCACAACTTACGATATTTTGCTTGACTATGCCGTACTACGATATTACACTTTCAACTATCACTGTAATGTACAATGTAAGTGATGTGAGAGCACCTCAAACTATCAGCTTTTGCCTCGTTTCCACGTAATAAGAACTCATTTATTTATTCATTAAGGGGACACATGATCGAATTCTCATGATGTCCTTTCCAGCTATCAAGAATTATCGTAATCATCTCAGGTTTGCCTGTAAAAGGGTTAGCCTCTATACAATCAACGCTAGGATAGATTAAAACTCTGCAGCTACATGGAGGTTTTGTTGGAGACTGTTTTTGTCTTTTCGCCGTCCTTCAGTGACTGAACATTTACTTTTCTCAGGGCGGCAATGGCTGTGGCCTCCTCATTTACGTCCGAGGGAGCTACGGAAATTCGTTTCGTGCTTGTCCCATCGTCCATTGCTGGGAATATCGTCTGAATCCTTCTTGTCAAACGAGCTCTTATCTGTAAATTGCAGGTTAAATGAACCATACTGTTACATTTACGGAGTTTGTCACTCTAAGTCTTTTTGCCTTTGATTTTGTTTTGTTATATGATATGAATGGACGTTCAATAGCAACAAATTTTCTTAAGCCATAGCGGAATTTGAGGTCATTCAGTTATCTGAGACTAATGAGAACAGGTACAATTATAAAGTGTAATAGATGCATTGTAACTACTTCCTCTTCCTCCCAAGGAAGTATTATCAATTGCAATATCAACTTTAAACTCTTTTTACGGCAAATCGATGATGTGTCTCGTCAATTGGAAATCCATGTCCTTTCTTCGTCCCCCTCCTCCCCCACGCCCCTTCCAAGGGGATGGGAATTGGTTTGAAAGTAGAGCTCTAGCGCACTTTTGAAGCTCCACGCCCGACAGAATATGGAAATACATTGACAAAATTTGGTCATAGTTTGCTACCATTTGTCACGTCGAGTCCATCTGTCTGGACAGTTCGATCCAAGAACGAGCCCTGTTCAATAGGGTCTAATCTATTTGATAGCACGCTTAAAATAAAATAAAACATCACGGTATCTGCTGTACTTGCTAAAACTGATATATTATCGGACTTTGACGAGCAATTTTCTAAAGTGAACAATCACTGACCTCGCTGTTCCTCACGCAGTGAAGAAGAAAGATGAAAAAACCCTGTTGAATCGAAGAGATGTCCAGAATCTGTCAAGCTATTACGATCATGCTAGATTTTTACGAGAGCTGCACAGCTTTTGAAGCATTGAGCTAGCGAAGTAACACCTCTCTCTTTATGAATCCATCAACATTTGAGAAAACAAAACGACTTTTGAACTTCAATTACGTTTGTTTACACCTTACCTGTGTAGAGTTGAAGATCGTGAAGATGTAAGCGAAAGCTTTATGCAATGGTGATAGTAACCCAAATAACCACGAGATTCCTAGCAGAGGAATCATTACTACGCATGCCTTTACACCAAGTCTGCAAAAAAGTTAGAATTGTTGGGTTATGATTGTGACGAAATCTAATGAGGCACGAATAGGTATATCAATCGTATCAAGTTGATTTCTCTTTGTTATTCCTACGAACTCCAGATTCCGCTTCCAAGACGGTTGGATTCCAGATTATAGTTGCTGGAGCTGGACCTGATTCTTAGACCCAGTAATTCGGAAACCGGTTTTCCTTAAATGGACCAAACACTACCTTATTTGTGTGCTGTGTTTGTCTTTCTCTTGTTGCATAGTCGTCATTTCCTTGATAACCCGGCCGAGGATCAGAATGTTGAACTTAAAATAAGCAAATAGACCAATATGAGCCCCTTACAAGTTTTTTCAGTTTCGACAACAGCAATCATAGTTATTTTCACTTACAAATTCAACAAGCACAACAAACACTATGAATATCCAGATCAGACCATTGGCCGGAGACATCCAGCAGCTTTAAGGAAAAAAAGAGAAAGATTAAGTCATAAATAAATGCTTTGCTTGTCAATGATTACAGGACTCTTAAACGAAAGTGCCTTTGGGCATGTTGATATGGATTTGGCGCACATTTAATGAATCGATCATGCCTTTTCTCCAGATTATTGACTGGAATAATTCATAATTACTGCCCTAAACAATCCAATTAAAAGCTGATCAGAAGACTCAGAATTTTTAGGTCTTCGATCTCAAAACATAATAACAAAACAAACAAGAAAGAAAACAAAAATGGATAAAATGTTGAATTTCTATATCTACTTTGTTCAACTGTAACAGGATGTTATTTTTTTTTTGAATTCGAAGGAATACCTGTGTCAAATCAGTTCTTGGAAAGCTGAGTGAGATGGCATGAAATCAGTAAAATGAAACTCAACTTACTATTTTTCACTCACAAAACTTTCGATCCCATCTTTTCCCGCTGCAATACTCAGAGATATGGCAACAATGAGCGCAGGAAGGCCTATAAAATTGAAATTCGAAACTTGTTCATGTCTGCCAAGAGCAGAATTTCCTTTTTGACCTCTGACAGTTACCTGTAACATCACTAGTCAGAGCTATACAGGAATGGAATTTGTAATATAATTGATGTGTTCCTGGGCCGATGCTCTTAAACGCGGAGAGTAACTATTCTCGGGAATCCTTAAGAAACATTGTCATACAAAAATAGGGTTGAACAAGGACCAAAGAGAAGTTTTTCGGAGAAGTTGTCTCTAAAATAAGTTGGACTTAAGGGTTCTGGGTCACTAAGGGAATGGCAGTTAAAACTGTTCATTAAATGATCTAATGGACACAGAGTACCTTACCCCAAGAGACTCCATGGCAAATTTTTAAATTGTTACCAACGTTGTAAACTTTCACAACAAACAAGTAGAGGTAAATTCCCTCGATAAACATCCAGCAGAAGGCGGCCATCAATAGATACTGCACAAGGGCTGCCACTGTAACGCAACCTCCCTGAGAAGATGATTGCAAGCCATGATTGAATTGTATGGTCAATATCAATAACGCGTGTCATCCTGACCCTTTTAATTGGTAAATTGACCAATCGAAAAGCATAGAAAGGTCAATTAATTTAGCGGTGGAGTGCTTTAGACTAGAAAGAAAACTAATATTCGATGTAAGTGAAATTAGTTAAATCTGTTAAAAAAGCCTTTTAATCGCTACATTAGTTTCAAGCTCTTCTTAGAAAATATTTATTTTCCTTCAAGTAATTATTTCTTTTTTCTTCTTTAACTTATCGCTTCGTTTTTTTGTGTATATATTGGCCTCCTCCTATTTTGACTACGAGAATAGCAAACTTCTGAGCATTTATACCTTATTCTTAGTTGCTCCAATCCCAGCAAGAAAGATGATTTGTCCTGCACCAAGAGAAGCGACTAAACTCACACGAATCTGGGATAAAGGTCCTCTCATGTCTCTGTCATCGGAAAAAAAGAAAATAAATAATAATAACAATAATAATAATAATGAATTAATAATAATAATAATAATAATAATAATAAAATAATAATAATAATAATAAAATAATAATTATAATAATAAAATAATAATAATAATAATAAAATAATAATAATAATAATAGTAATAATAATAATGATAAAGGTTTTTTGATCTGAACTCGCGTCTTTTGTTAAGTCCGTGGGGACTGAGTGTACATAGTTGTGCGGTCCAGTGGGTCTCTCTCGTAAGTAATAATCTATCAATATAAGCTGCGTCCCCTTGGCTGATAATTTTCTCAATAACAATAAAGTTAATTTCAGAAATTTCATGTTTGGTACAATTGAAGTGGATTGCAAGCTCGCACGTTTTTTTGTTTGTTCGCATAGATGACTTGAGATTACGAAAACGCACTTTGAATTCAGTGGAAGTAGAACCCACGTATTGTAAATTGCATTTCTTGCACAAGGCCAAGTAAACAACACTTCTGGAAGAGCAAGACAGGTTTTGGCAAATCTTATAGGTTCGGCCTGTGGAAAAACTCTTAAATTTGGAATCTTAAATTAAAAAATTCTTGAAAAGGTCGCATCTAGAGGAGCATTTAAAACAACCTCCCGTTTCCTTCTCTGTCTGACTAACTTTCCCACCCATACACAATCTAGAAGGCGCCAAAATGTCTTTGAGGTTTTTGGTACGGCGATATGCTGGAAAAATTGGTTTTGATGAAAGCATTTGCAATAACTCAGGTGACGATCTTAAGAGATGAGCATGCTATTGGATAACCCTCTGAATATCAGGGAGGATAGGATTGTAGTCGAGGACTAACGGGAATACTTTTTTGTTGGACTTGACATTTTTCTTCAGGAGTACTGATCTTTCAATTCTCAACGCTCTCTCAAATTGATTGTCTACCAAATCTGCATTATAACCCTGGGATTTAAGATACCCTTTATATTCAATACATCTCTTGTAAAGGGACTCGTCCGTAGAGCAGTTACGTCTAATGCGTAAAACAACTCCGTAGGGAATTGCCCTTTTACAGTGTGCCGGGTGCGAACTGGAAAAGGGTAAATAAAGATGGCTATCTGTAGGCTTAGCATAAATATCAGTAATTACGAGCCCGTCTTGAAGGTGCAGTGTGAGATCCAAGACATTGAGGGTGTGCTCAGAGTACACCAGCTCAAATTTGATAGTGGGATAGAGGGAATTGATGTACTCGGTAAACTCTAATAACTTAGGCAAACCATGTGTCCAAACATCGAAAACATCATCCCTATATCTCCACCATAACAA